TCGTGGGGTCTGTTGGTTGAAAACTACAAAAGCGGGCGGCGGAAACTTTAATGAAGAGGCTTCGGCCACTTCAGCGACCGGGCTGAAACGAAGAAAGAGAGAGAGAGAGGGTAGCCGCGAAATCGTGTCTGCAGGTGAAATTTCTACTCTTTTTCGCCAGAGGTGAGGATTCGGTAAAGTTTTCGTTTTCGTCGGGGAAAGAAGGGGTGAACGAGTAACGAATGTACCCTTGCTGCGCCCTGTTAACCATCGTAATGAAGACGTACGCGCGATATTACGCGGTGATTCGCGATTTATTCGAAATTCAATAACGACACCGTGAGAGAGAGAGAGAGAGAGAGGGGGGGGGGGGTAAACTGCGAGATCCTTCCTTTGAAATTTATTCCCTCTTTGTTCTCTCCTGCGAACGATTTTATTTTGTTCTTTCCCTTTGCGGATGCTCGACGTTTATACAACGATTGTAGCGTTTCAAAGTCCTCTAGAACGACAGAGAGAAATTACGTAGCTCTTTAAGAAGTGTCCTCTGTGAATGCACTTTGTCTTAAATGCAACTTTTCGACGAAAGTATTCGAAAATGTTGAAATCTCTCTCAGACGTGAAATATAATATATTTGTCGTGATGTAATTCGCGAGCACCGAAGATCTCGATGTTCTGCGAGTATTTTGAAGGCGGAAGTAGAGTGAAACCGAGCACCTAATGTATTTAGCTTCGTGACAAAAAAATCGGTAGGGCAAAAAACAAAAGAAATTCGGAAAAATGAAGAATTAGAGATAATATTCTTATTCAAATTTCGCTCGGAATCTACTAACAAACGAGCTTAAACAATTCCATGTTTGATGGAATATAGAGGGTGTCTCTTTGCCACTTTGTAAAGCACTGAGTACATGGAACAAATCTGACGAAGATATCTCATCAATTGCCTTTGTAATAAATTTTTGAAATTGGATGGACACCCACATGGGATTATATTAAAGATATCGAACAATCACTGACGATGCCATTGCCACCATTGATGAGGCTACAGCGAACATGGCAAGAAATCGAGTACCGTCTTGATGTGCTTCGTGCAATTAATGGTGCCTATACAGAGGTGTATCAAATAAGGCAGAAAAGAACTTAAATATATACGTCTCATTTTGTAATAATTTCTACTTATCTGTCTTTTCATTTGCCTTCGTGATAAATTTTTGAAATTGTAAAGACTCTTTATGGACACCCTGTATATCGAGAACTTCGGTACAATCAAGGGGATTCTCAGTGTTTCACTGTAAATAAAACAGGGTAAGAAAAGATTACACGATAAGAAGGGAACGGAGAGGAAAACGAGAAAAAGGAAACAAAAGAGAGGAGCTCGCGATAGTTTGAAAAGGCATAAGTCGCGCAGAAGGAGAGGACGAGACGTAAAACACTTCCGTAACAATGCCGATCTCTTCCGCGAAATAAAACACTCGACACCGAAGCGCAGCAAGAAGAAGGCGAGCAGAAAGGGAAGAGTAGAGAGAAAAGGTATAGGGAACGCGTTGTTTGGCACGGCGAACTAATGAGCCTCTATTCGACAGAAAGCAAACATACTCCCAGCGAAATAACGATCGATTTTTTTCACCCCTCAGAAGCTCTTGTTCGCGTGCAAAGACGACGTCGCAGCCACGCAAATGTACAACTGCTCGCCTCTCTGCTCTAACTTTCCTGTTTCTCGTGTAATCGCTTTCACAAAAAGTTTCCTTTCAATTTGACGAAGGAGGGAATAAATGTTCGCGAGAAAGGAGCTCGCGCAGATTAATTTTTCATGCAGAAAGTAAATTAAAAGTACGACGCGAAACCGATCGAACGTTGAATGAGCTCGAGACGATTATAAATTCATTATATCAATAAAGTTTATTTTCATTAATCGGTTATTGAAGTATCTGATAATTATTCCAGTATTTGCAGTTTGTGGATTTTCAAAGGGGGGAAACGAGAGGAAATTATTGCGCGGGATCGAGTAGTTGATGTACTTTCATTATCAGTGCTCCGTATATTCTTTTCTACGAAAAAGAAAAACAACAAAAAGAAATACTTCGCGAAATAAAACTCTAGTCGTTATCTTTCCCATATTCTTCTCTCAGTAAAATACAAGGGGCTTCTATAAATTCGTATCATGCTTGTACAGTATAATGCGCATATAATCTTGCACGCTTGTACACCATACGCATATAATCAGTAAACTGCAGATTTAAAGATACAAAGAGCGCACGTAACACGCGCGAAATGTACAAAAATACGAGTGAAATACGCAGTTGGATGAAACAGATCTCCAGTATCTTTTTGAACATATTCAGCAAAATATGAATCTGCGTAAATATCCGCGGTCTAATAATCAGTGATAAGCACATGTGCTTCTACATATTTACGAAGCACAAATATTTGGATCCTCCGAAATTCAAGGAAAATAATATGTTTGTCCCAATGTGATACTTTAACTAGATAGGAAAGAATAATCTCAAGAATAATCTCTGGGGTCTGCTTAATAATTTGTCATACGATTTTCTTTTCAATCTTCTTAGATAAATATTAGTTATAATTCGTATCAGATGTAAAATATCGGAACGTATATTTATTTATAATTTGTATTTATCATTATTATTATTATTATATTTCAATTTTTACTGTTATTATAATTTATAATTTCTATTTATTATTGTTATTGTTATATTTCAATTGTTACTGCTATTAGGGATATTCGAAAGGATTTCAACTTAAAAGACGAATTCAAATTCCACACGATTGAAGTCTTGGTTTTTCTTGAAACTGTATCGAAGTTGCGAGCGTGACTCGATGTTCACAAGACAAAGTATTGGAAACAGACTTGTGTCTTTTCTATTATCAGTTTTTAAGGACAGAAATAAAACTGGTGTTGGCAAAACTTGGCAACTCGTAAGCAGCTTTCAATTAAAGATTGAAACTGACCGACCGACAGCACCGCTTCACGCAATGAGAAATCTCTTCGGCGAATCATCAGGCGAATCTAGCTTGGACGAATCAGTTCCCGCTAATGGCTCAGAGTTGTTTCAAAGCAATTTCCCCAATTAGCTCGAAGTTGGTTGAAAGAGATCTTGCCGTTTATTTCGAACGTTGTTACTGGTACACGTATTTTTTATTTCGTCGGCTGGAGACTTTCGATCTTGTGTGTACAAGTCGTGCGAGTCGAAAGTTTCGTCTGAAACGCGTGCGAAGTTTTGCCGGACCCCGACGCGGCGTTACTCTCGTTACATCCATCCCAAAGTAATTCCCAAGTGCCTAGCGCCAGGATATTCCTCAATCGCGTACGTTTCACCCGAATCGATGTACCACTCGAATCCGGCCGATTAGTCGAACTAGCTCTCGCCGTTCCCTTTCTGTCAAGGGACCAAACACTGCCTGCCACCTCCGTTTCGTAGCCAATTTCCGTTGAATAATTACAATACGGTCTTATTGCTTGATCATTTGCTTGACAATTGTTTCTCTTCTAACAGTAGATCTATAATCTACCAGCTATATAGTAACTGCATAATTTAACTAGTATAGTATGTCTATCTAGCGGCTGATTCCATGAAGAAGTTACTTGCCTAAGAATAAGTCGAAAGTTTAGATAAATGTCTAAATATACATTGTTTGGTGTTTCGTAACTTGTGGAACTCCCAATTCGGGAGTTGATTGTAAGCCTAAAAATAATGAAAAAAATATATGTCCTATCTGTCTTCGTTTATGAGATATAATGAATTTTATAAACTCTAGTAAGCTAGTTTTACCAGGGATGGTATATTCAATTTTCATAACTGGGATGAAGAAAACCCACATGTTATTGTGCATTCAAGACATCAACACCAGTTTAGTTTGAACGTATGGGTAAGAATAATTGATAAATTTTTAATTGGACCTTTTTCTCTTGATGGGAAACTAACAGGCACAAAGTACGTTGATTTTTTGAGCA